TGTAACAAAAATAAATACATAAATTTTAAAAAACAACAACACTAGTTTCAAAAAAGACAGCACTTGGCTCAGCCATTAGAGTGCCAGCCTTTGGACCAAAGGGTCAAGAGTTTGATTCCCAGTCAAGGGCATGCACCTGAGTTGCAGGTTCGATCCCTGGCCCTGGTCAGGGTCATGTGGGAGGTAACCAATTGATGTGTCTCTCTCACATCAATGTTTCTCTCTCTCTCTCCCTCCCTTCCACTCTGTCTAAAAATCAATGGAAAGATATCCTTGAGTGAGGAGTAACAAAAAATAAATAAAATAAAAAAGACAGCACCTGAGTTTAATCCTCTGGCTGTGTTATCTGTGACAATTACCCAATTTGTCTGAGCTTGTTTCCCCATCCATAAAATGGAGATACTATCTCCCTCTTAAAGCTAAGATGGGGACTATCTCAAACCACATGCATTAAGCAAGTAACACAGTGCTAAATAAATGTAACCTCCCCTTAGCACCAATAAATCTTGGAAGTCCTCTTAATTCAACCTCCTCTTCTTATTAGTAAGAACACTAAAGCCAAAAAGGCTTAGGGACTTGTCAAAGGTCAATTAAGTAGTAATCAGGAGAGCCAGGCCCTGATGCCTGGGTTCCTGCACCCTAATATAAAATCTGGTTTCATATGAGCCAAGGAATGACTCTGTTACTATGTTATGGCCATACATCACTATACAGGACAAGCCTTCTCCACTGCCTGGCTTACCAGATTTCTTGAATAAATCTTGATTTTTCCTAAATACCAAATCCCCCACAAACTGATAGGGTCCTGTCTGTGAAGGCAGCCCCAAGGGGGAGCTCCACACAGGGGAGCAATAAGGATTTGGATATGGGTGAGGTTTTAGAAATTCTTTGCACCTTACTGCAGCCCTGCCACTTAGGCACCTATCTATGTGTACGTACGTACACACACACACACACACACACATACACACACACACACACACTATCATTCTTAACTTCCAGTCCTCTGGCATGAACACAGCACTCACAATGCCTTACAATTGGGAATTTAGACAAATTTTCTTGAATGAGAAATTCCATGTAGGAACAATGTTGAACCAATGCCAGTTCACAGGCAGTCTGTGTTTAAGCAAGAGGTTCTCCTTTCAGTGATCTTTATGCATACACCTTTTGGACCATAATAGCCTGATTAAAATGGAATTACTTTCAAAATTCTGTTAGGGCCTGGGCGGTGTGGCTCAGTGGATTGAGTCATTATCCCATGGACTGAGAGGTCCGGGTTTGATTCCCGGTCAGGGCACATGCCTGGGTTTCAGCTTAGTCCCCCAGTGGGGAGCATGCAGGAGGCAGCTGATCGATGTTTCTTTCTCACATCAATGTTTCTATCTCTCTTTTCCTTCCTCTTTCTCTAAAAAACAATTAATGAAAACATATTTTAAAAAATGATGTTACGGATTTGTTAGTGGCTGGTCATTTCTTTTTCTGTTTGGATTCTGATTGTTGAGAATTAGGTTACAGTGCATTTATCTCCTTTTCTAATTTCATTCAAAGGATCCATCTGTCTTGTCAAGAAAAAAAGGCCAAGGTGTCTTAAATGTCTACAGGAATGAAATCCTTGGTCTTACCAAAGGTTGAGGTCAAAGGGAGACATTCTGAAAAGGATAGGACAGCAAATCAGTCTGCTTAGAACTGTAGTGGACAGAACACAAGATGCATTATTAGATAAGAAGTACAGAAAACAAAGCATTTGAAGGAATGTGAGAGGGTGATAAATAGATCCATGAATAACTTAAGACATTTTCCCCTTTCCATATTAACATTGTACATCTGCTTGGAATTTCACAGTTCCAAGTTCTTTCACATAAATTACTGTGGCAGACAGTTTGCTGCTCATTAATAGACCCTCCATCCTGATCTTTTTCCAGTGTCAGCAACCTAGCCTGGGGGATGAACCATGACTGCTCTAAGTCAGTGGTGTTCAATTTATCTGTACAGTAGAGTCACCTGGGGAACTTTTTAAACCATCCCAGTGCCTGGACCCTACACCAGACCAATTATATTGGTATCTCCAGTGGTGGAGCTCAGGTATTGACATTAGAAACAAAAACTCCTCAGGTGAATGTAAAATGGTCCACGCCAATCATGACGATCCTAGTCCCTTTCACCGATTTTTAGGCTAGAGTAGGCCATCTGACCCAATCAGCTCTAGCCAATGAGACATAAAAGGAAGTTGGTTGGGGGCAAGGGGCTCTGGGAAAGGTTTCTATAATCATATTGAAGGAAAGAGAGACAGATAAGGGGAAACACTTCCACTCCTTATTTGTTAACCAGTTTCCTTTCTTTCTGCATTTTAACAACCCTGAGTAGTTGTATGAGGAAGTGATGTTGCTGAGGCTACCATCTTGTGGCAGTGGGAAGATAAGCTGGTGAATGAAATCCAGAAAATTGTAAAAGATGGAAAGAGCCGGGGGTCCTTGGTGACTTAATTTAGGGTGCTGGGGTCCCCATTCAGCCCTGAAAAAATCACACTGACTCCCTCCCTGGCAAATCCTGGTTGTCAGGTATGGACGGACCACCCAGAAGTTACTCAGGTCAATTAATGTGTAGCCCTTCTTCACGGATGAGCTGAGGAAATGCTCAGATGCCTTGTGAAAAGAACAGCTATGAGGATGGCTTTATAGTTACCAGCTTTCCTGTGTAGGTTGTTGTTGGCAACTCAAGGATATTTTATTGATTTTTTTCAGTGGTTGGAACATACTAGTAATAAAGCTAAATGTGTTTCCCATCCCAGATTAGTCTCTAAGCCTGGTTGGAGTGCCAAAGGTGCTGGCAGCGGACGCTCAGGGGGCCCAGGTAAGGGTGTGTCATAATGGAGAGATTTTGAACTCTGGGGTCCAACAGAAAAGCTGCTATACCCTCACCAGCCCAGGTGTGACTTTGGGAAAATTACTTGACTTCTCTGAGTCTCAGATTCTTCATCTGTAAAATTGATAATATGTCAAAATAATGATATATATACAATGCCCAACTCAATCCACGGCACATAAGGTTCCATCCCCTTCTCTTCCCTAGAGTGTGACAGATTTTTATAAACTCATTAGTGGGGTCAATGATGTTGGTGGAGACATGGTAAGTGCCCAATAATTCCAGCAGAAATGTGGGAGGAAGGGATTAGTTACCAAAGTATGGGAGAACCTAAAACTGGCTCCCAGATGTCCCTGCAGCCCTGGAGAGAAAGCCCTGTTGGCCTTCCAAACAGCAGCACCAGTATCTTCCCCCACAGTCACCCTCACAGATTCCAGAGGATGAAATCCTGTCTTCTAACCCTCCTCTCTATTCTCTTTCTTACTCCACCCCACTCAGCACTCAATAAATGTTAATAAAAATGGGGAAAAGCGAAAGTTTCTGGGAGATTGTCAATTCTTAAAGCCATAAAATGCTTCAGCATTTGCCCTGGAGAGGGGTTCCCTCAGGTTTGCAAGGGAGGGTTGGGGACCATTATTTTACTTATATCTGTAAATAGAGGATTAACAGATGAAAGGATGTTTTTGTTAAGATGTGACAAGTCACCCTGTGCTTTACCTTCCTTTACTCTGGAAATCAGGAAGGAACACAGACTTCCTAGCAATTACAGAAACCGACCAAGAAAACGTGGCTCTATTAACAACAACAAAATCCGCCTTCAACATCTTCAACTTTGTCCACAGAGCTTCATCCCAGGGGAATAGCGAATTACACTATAAAATAATGAATGGAAACTTAAGTCACTTCCACCCCCTCGGCACTGCTTTTCTTCCTCTGGACTTCACAGTACAGAAAGCTGCATCCTTCCAACTCCCACACAGTTTTGGGAAATTCATCCCCATGCCACTAACTAGACTCCTAAGGTCAGCATCATACAGAACAAATTCTTCCCTCGGCCAATGTACATTACAGGCCATACACTGACTCAGACACTGAACACATTTGGGGATCATTTAAGCACCATTTTTTGCATCTCAGGATATATGCTTTACAGAGAAAGAATAAAAATTGTGGGGCAGGGGGGAGTGTCTTTTCACAAAGCATCTTCCGCAGTTACAGCCAAAGCTGCTACTGCCAATCTAAAGGTTCCATTTCTCAAATGGTTCGGGTGAAGTGAGGGGAAGCCCATCTCTGAGGTCTTGTCCACACTAGAGGAAGCTGACCAGGCAGCTTTTGGGAACAGATATAAATGGGATATGGTTAAATATCCTGCAAACACCAGTCGTGGGGGTGGGGGGAGACTCCACATGAGCCAGGAGGAAAGCTAAGTCCATTCTACACCACTATATCAGAGCCTGAGATGCACACTGGCAAAAACTGCTGCAAGAGAGGCCTGACTATGCCTGTGTGCTTGGGAACTCAGAAGGAAAGCTCTGGAGTCTACACATCAGAGAGATAGATAGAGGCAGAGAAGAAATATAAAATAGATTAGGGGAGGTAGGATAAGAGTTAATAACTTTCCACCAAACCCTGCTTTTGGCTTTTTCTGTGCCTGCAAACACTGTTGCAAAAAGTTTCCCCATAGGGCAGACTGGCGTCAAGAAAAAGTCATAAGCATCAACCTCAAATGGTCCCCGAAATCCTATGCTTTTCATCTCAATTCCCAGGCTCAAGTTTCAAGACGTTCAAATCTTCTCTACTCTCCCAAGACCTCTGATATCCCTCTTCCCACCTCTCCCCTAATTCTCAACAGATGATCTGACGTCCTACTTCACAGAGCGGACTGGGAGTACAGAAACCTGGGTTCCGCTTCAGCCAGACTTCACCTCTTTCATCTCGGGGTGCTCTCCTGTGAAGGCAGGTGGCTAAGCTGGAGATCCTGATGACTCTCCCAAATTCTGCCAGCAGTGCGTTCCCACCGCTCAGACCTATTCCGACAGGGTGAGATCTGGGACGGCATCACTCCCCACTTCCCCAGGCTGGTTCAAACTTCCCCCAGACCCTTACTTGGCCCTCCCTGCCCCAGACCACCTTACTCGGATCCACCCCCGGGACGCGGGTGGAAGGCTACGTGGTGCCACCGGCCTTCATCTCCTGCAGTGTCTCCTCCTCCAGGGCCGGCTCGGGGTCGCCTTCTTCCCCACTGCGAGGGTAAGCCAGCAGGCGCATGGCCGGAGCACAGGCGGCCTCCACCTGACGCACCTGCTCGCGGCTCAGGCGCTCACGCCAGGCGTGAACAGCCTCCCGGGCGTCGCGCGCCGACAGGTGGAAGGGCCGGTCTGCGCCATAAGCGGCGCCGCGCGTCATGTTGAGCGCGAAGTTGTCGAGCGCAGACAGCGCTCGAAGCCCGGCGAAGCGCAGCAGGCGGCGCAGCTGGGCTCGTGGCTGCTGCACTAGGTCTTCGTAGCGCAGCCTCAGGTAGCGGCGCTGCAGCCAGGCGGGCGCCCCGCGCGCAAAGAGCAGGTCGCGCAGCCAGGCTTCACAGATCACCTCCAACGCACCAGTCAGGAAGAAGTCGGTTCGCGGAGCAGCCGGCAGTGCGCGGGATGGGCCCCCAGGGCGAGCGCCCACGCCGTGCGCCAGCAGCACACGGTGGAAGCGGTCGCCCCTCTGGCGGGTGCGCAGCACTTGGATGCTCTCCCGCAGCAGCCCCTGCCTGGATTTGAGGCGCGAGTTGTGAACGGCCCTCGGGTCTCGGAAAAGCTGCACCACCTTCAGGTTGAGGCCCGGGTCACGCATCAGGGGCACCAGCACACCCAGGTCCAGGAGGCGAACGTCCTTGATGACCACTACAGGGTACTTGCGGCACTCGGCCTCCAGGGCTCGCAGAGCCACTGGTGGGCAGCTGCGTTCGCAGGCGGCGTCCTCAACGAGGCCAACCTCTGTCCTGGCATGGACCGCACCGGGGCACAAGGGAGGCGAGCAGATGACTTTGTTGGTCCGCCAGCGAAAGAGAGTGGCCGTGGTGAGATTGGCTGCGTCCGGGGCGCGCGCGGCAGGGTCTCCGGGCGGCGCGTACAGCCGCAGCACAGAGAAGTCACAGCGGAAAAGCGAGCGCAGCATGTCGCGCAGCGCGCCCTGCAGGCTCTCAGCATCTCCTGGATACAGCGCCTGCCAGAGATGCCACATGGGCTCATATAAGTAGAAAACGTCCGGGTGCTGGTTAAAGAGTTCGCCCAGGAACGACGAACCAGTGCGCCAGGTGGCATGCACATAGATGTGCTGTTTCTCGCCAGACACCGTCTCCCCGACGGCGCTGCTGAAGTTGTCAGGGGAACCCGGGGACTGGCCTGCGTGCCCCTCAGTGTCAGGCCGCGCCTCTGCACTCTGCTCGCGCTCCCCCGCAGCCGCCGCCTCTAGGCTCCACACGCCCAGGCTGCGCTGCAGGCCCAGGCAGTGCCCGGCGCCCTTGTCCCCGTCACGGCCGCCGTCCAGTACGGAGGGGACCAGCAGCAGCACCAGCGTGTACAGTACCAACAGCAGAGCGAACTTGCAGTACTCCCGGCGCCGCCGCCGCCGGCTCTTCATCGTTTACCAACCCCCTAGAGAGAGTGGGGCGCCAGTCTTCTCCCCTTCTTTAGAAATCCCGTTCCGAGTCCGTTCCTCCAGCTCCTTTGGGCCCCTCTGAGCTGGGAGGAGCGGAGCCACCAGGACTGTGCGTCCACAAGGGGAAACTTGTGAGGCAGTGGTGCTAGTTAGGTGGCGCCCTTGCATTCTCTTGGTTCCGAGGCTGGAGAGTCTCCTATTGGCCATCTTGGCAGCCGCCGGCCCCGCCCCACCCCGCCTCGCCCGCACTTTCTCCCCGCCTCTCTAATGGCCCGGGTTCGCCAGAGGATCTGCCTGATTTGGGCAGAGTTGCCAAGGGGTGGAGACACCGGCTGGGACGCACCCAGCCAGACCCCACCTTCCCCAACCCCTTTGTAATGAAGTCAAGTCTTCACGAATTAACTTCAGGCAAGGGAGGGGCTCATGTGTACAGAATGTACCCTACCCAGTGACGGGATGTGGGTCCCACCCAGAGATCTCCACAGCCTCTCTTGTTACATGTCCCCTGACTGGCCATCTCTATCATAGGTAGACTTGCTTTCACACTATTTAGAGTAGGGTTCCTGATTACTATCTACATCCAGTGCCCACATCAGCCCGAGAATGAGTGTTACTGAGCTCTGGATGGAGAACTCCACTAAGACAAAAATACACGACTTAGCTCTGGCCAGTTGCCTCAGTTGGCTGGAACGGGTCTCATATACCAAAAGGTTGCGGGTTCGATCCCCAGGGGTGAGATCGCATAAAGGAGTCAGCCCATTGATGTTTCTCTATCACATCGCTGTCTCTCGCCCCATCCTCTTCCCCTCTCTCTAAAATAAATAAAAAGATATCCTCCGGTGAGGATTGTGAAAAAATAAATAAATACGTGATTGCACAGTGCATGGTGGTCCAGGGGAATCTGAGGCACTACTGCATTCACGTGGCACATTTAGTTATTAAAGTATAGTCTTGGTGAAATTTAAAGTGTGTTCATTAGGGTTTTGCCCCCTGAGGGGCGTGCACATTTTACAGACATTCTGAGGATCTGTTTACTCATTTGTGAAATGCGATGATTTTTAGTGCCTCTGTACTTTCTGGTGTTAGGGGATTTTGGGGTCATTTATTACTACAGCATAACCTACACTATTCTGACACACGTGAGCAAAAATATTTACAGAATCAGAGCAGGAAGATGGCGGAGTTTCTCAGGAGCTCAGTGTTTACAAGGGCCCATAAGGAGGGACGTACTCAAGGATGGATGAAAAAGTGACAGGAAGTCCAAGAGGCAGATTGAGCTCATAGTTCCTGAAATCTAAAAAAAGAACTAAAAAGGATAATTTTTTATTTGATTCAGCGGGATAATGAACAAGAATAATTAACATCCCTTTGGAGAAGGTGTTGGTTGTAAAATTAATGGAAGATATAAAGCAAATCTCATCACAAGGGGAAGGTGTTCAAATTGGAAAACTCAGAATATCTCCAAATACTTTCTCCAGTCTTTTTAATCACAGAAACTACTCCACCTATGCAATAAGTAGCTTAAGCATCCACCGTCTGTCCACAATTCTCTCTGCTTTCAATCACTTGTTCAAATCCTTTCTACTCTCTAACCTCATTGACCACTACCCCCAGTTTCTTTTCATTTTCATATTCAGCAAGGAGACCTCAGACTGTTATTTTAATAACACTCTGCCCATAACCTAAACTTGTGGTCCTCTGTCTTTTCATTCCTTAATTAGCAAAATCTAAGAGGAGAGGTCTATTCTATTTAGACCTTTGATACCTCTCTTTGCCCTCCACCATCCCTCCCCATCTCAACAAATGACCTTACCTTATACTTCATAGAGAAAATGAAACTGTGTTAGATAATCTCTCACTTTTCCACAACCAGATCCATATATCACTTATGTCTATACCTATCTTCTCCTTTGTGGCAAAAATATTATTTTCCAATATTAATCTATAACTTTTCCTTCCCCATGTTTTTACTTCCACCCTCCTCTCTTCTTTTAAGCAAGTAGGTGGCTCTGTGCTCACCTGAGTGGAGAGATGTGGCTGGGCAGAATGCAAAATGTCATTGGTGTTTTATTTCAAAAACATAAACTCCAGTAGAGTGTGGTAGGTTTTAAAAAGAACCAGTGTTCTGCCCTCCTCTGTTCACGCCCTTTGTCAATACTGACTCTGGGATGGCCTTGCAACTTGCTTCGATCAATGGGACAGTAGCAAATATGATACAAGCAGAGACTTGAAAAAGGCTTCCACTATGAAGATTGCCCTCTTACTGCTTGTGGGAACCCTGAAGTCACCATGTGAGTAAGCCTGGGCTAGCCTCATGGATGAGAGAATAAGCCTTCCCAGCTGAGGCTTCCCAGACCAAACAACCTCCTAACCACCAGACAGGCGAGAGAAGATATCCTAGACTAGTGTGTCTCAAAAATTAATGTACATATATAAACCTCCTGGGGATGTTGTAAAAATTCAGAAGTTGTCTCATTAGGCCTGGTGTGGGGCCAGAGTCTACATTTCTAAGTTCCTGGGAGCTGCTGGTCTGAGTACACTTTGAATAGAAAGATGTTATCCCCTCCAGGCTCAATTGAACTGACTCAAACTAAAAGAACCACCCAGTTGACCCACAGAATTGTGAGGAATAAGAGATGTGGGTTATGAGATATTAAGTTTTGGGGAGTTGTTATGCAGCAAGAGCTAGCAGATATAGGCAAAGTGTGAGGGTTTAGATTAAATGTCTTGGAGAAACAGGGGAAGAGCAGCTCTCTATTGGCCCCTCTAAGCTAGCGGTTGGTGAAAGGAGAGAGAATTCTATGGGCTCCACAGCAGAATGCACCTGAGCTCTTCTTCCCTGGTAATGCATCAGGGAAGAACAGGACTCAAGGGGAAGTGGCTGTATGGTTCATCTTGACAGAGGTGATCAGAACAGAGACACTGTCCCAAACCTTCTTGGGCCCCTGGCACAGCTTGAGGACAGCAGACAGGTCATAGAGACAGTGATGGTAACATTTCAGGGGCAACTATGTGGACCAAAACCCAATGATCCAAAGACTCCAGATCAACAGTTTAGCCCTGGGAGTAGAGACACCCTAGGAATCTCCAAGACAAGTTGTCATCCCAGCAGAAAGAGGGCTTAATCAGACAAAGTTGTTTTCTATAAAAGTGATTACTATTACTTTTTTTAAGTTAGTGGACCTGCTACCCCTTTTTTTCTTTCTGTTACAATAGAATGGGCACAGGTGCTCCAACTGCTCACCACTTTTCCCTCCAGTGAATCCAACCATAACCTCTTAACCAGATGATTCTCACCAGTGTGAGAATTAGACATAGTTATGTGTCTCTTTCTCTTTAAAAGTCCCATTGATTCACATCCTCCTCTGGCACAGTTGCTGCTTACACATACTTTTCATAAGAATCAGAAAGTGCTCCCTCCAGGCAGAAAATTTTCAAAAAGGGGGCTGACTACATTGAAAACAGTACCCCTTCCTTGAGGCCACAGCCCCAGGCCACAGTTTACAACGTGAGTGCAGAGCCTGGCTGGATTCCAGCCTGCACTTTCATCCCGATTTCCCTTGCCACTCCCTTGTCGGGCTGCCACTGGTTTCTCTGCCTGCTCCTCACAGCAGCCCAACTTCTTGGTGGAGTTGTCTATACTTGTTCTCTCCCTGTGCTCATCTCGTATTTATTCCTCAGTACACTCCAGTCTAGATTCCTCCCCCATATTGCTACATAAGCAGTTCTTTCTAACATTATTAATGGCTTCCAGGTTACTGAATCCGGAGGACATTATCATGCCTTGCCTTATCTGACCTTTCAATAATGTTTAACACTGTTGACAGCTTCTGCTTTCAAACTCTTCTTTAAATATTTATGACATCATACTCACACAGTTCTCCTCCCATTTCAGAACTACACCTACAGAGCACAGCATTTGAGAGACTGGGCTCTGTAAAATAGTAATCCGAATAGAACATACTTTGTAGGGTTATTTTAAGAATTAAAATTGCCCTGGCTAGTTTGGCTCAGCGGTTAGAGCGTCGGCCTGCGGTCTGGAGAGACCCGGGTTTGGTTCCCGCTAACGGCACGTACTTCGGTTGCAGTTTGTCCCTGGCCCTGGTTGGTCGTGCGGTGGCAGCCACTCGATGTGTCCCTTTCACATCGATGTTTCTCTCTATCTCTTCCTCTCTCTCCCTCCCACTCTATCTGTACAAAAAATGGAAAAATGTCCTTGGGTGAGGATAAAAAAAATAATAATTAAAATTTATAAGATAGATAGATATATGATAGATAGATACAACAACAATGCATGACATGGAGTAAGCTTCAAGTATTATGAGTTACTTTTATTGTTGCTATGGGAAGCACATCTTCCTCCACCTGGTCATTCAATGTTAGAATGTTAAAATTTCTTCAGGTTCAAAAAATAGGCTTTTTCTTATCACTCTAAGGTCTCTTCAGTATCTCTGGATTGACATTTCTGGCTCAGACCTCTCCTTGGCACCCCAAACCTAGAAATCCAGTTGCCTACTTGACATTACCTCTTGGTTGCCTCAAGGTCATACCATTTTTAATATGTGATTGGGAAAACCCTTTAATCTATTATGCAATTAGAAATTTAAGAGTTGGTCTTGGCACCTCTCTCTCCTTCAGCCCCTCTTCCTCAATCCAAGTCATATTGGTTTTACCTTCTCATATCCTTTTAATCCATCAATTCTCTTCATTGCCACTACTACCATCCTAGCTCAGGTGACTATCCTCTGTCACCTGGAGCATTGTAAACACTGCTTAGCCAGTCTGTTTCCACTATGCTTTTCTCTGATTTTGAATCAGTGATCTATTCTAGTCATGTCACTCCTCTGCTTGGAATACATCATGGCTCTCAATTGGTCTTTGGATAAAGACTCAAATCGTAAAGGCCTGTAAATTGTGTTGTTAGATGTTGCTAAAAAGGAAACTGTAGGCCCAAAATGTCACGTGAGGTAAAGCCTATGCTACCAAACCTAGATTTAATATCTGACCTAATTGCTCTTTCAATCTTTCCCAGAAATATAATCTTTAATCAACCAGTCTATTACTTTCTAATCAACACAAATGAGGTAATCTGCCATGTGGGCCCTCTCCATTCCCCACAGAAAAAA